CACCAAGAATGCTGACTGAGTTCGGATCGATTAAGGCCGCGTGTCGCATAGCCTCCTGTGTTGTCATTTGTTGTCACGCGGCCGAAAATAATCCGTGGTGTCATTCTATATATGTGTTCGACGATTTTTTCTATTTCCATAAGTCGGTTGAGTATCAGACGTCCAACACTTGTTTGTGGCTTACGTCTTATCCAAGTATGTGCTATTGCCGAACCGGAGAGAATAAAAATCTCGTGATTTCTCAGTGTTTTGTGAAGCTGTGTTAACACTGCGTTTGTTAGTGTAAGTGCTAGCGTAAGTGCACTTAGTTCCATTTTCGGTATAGTCAGGGGAGATTTTAGTGAAGGCAACTTGCTTTTTGCCATAAGAAGATTGACAGACTGTTGTGAACGTATATTTATACATGTTGCCATTGCTTCAGAGCTAACATCTGCAAAGGTTACTAGGATGTAATCGTCGCTCTTCATGCCTATGTAGCATGATAAGGAAATAGAGAATCCTTCTATTCCCTCCCAAATATCAGCCCATTTTGGTGTATGGTCATTTGATAGGATTTCGTCCCATTCGTATCCCTGTGACCATAAGAAGCGCAAGAAAACTTTTAATCTATGAAGGAAGGGTACAAGGAGTCCAAATGGATCGAATAATGAGGCGAGTGTACTGGTGACTACTCTCTTAGTAATTTTTTGGTGAATTTTCTTGCCACATGATAGCTGTATTTGATCTAAATGGATGTTCCAGGGGATCCCGAGTACTTTGGGCAGTTTCTCGCTTGATTTATCGGACGCTGCTATTTGGGACATCAAGATTGCATCATTTGAATTGAACTCGCGAAGATTCATGCTTAGCTCATTGAATATTTGCTTCAAGGTAAATAACTGCGGAATGATTCTTCGCGATTGTCAACAGTTAAGATGACGTTATCAACGTATAAGTTAGTCTTTATTTCTTCTACTAATCGGGATTCTTGTTTGTACGTGCCAATGGTAATGAATTGTTGCGGCTAATAGAAAGGGTGACAAAATTAATCCAAAACTTACTCTAATAAAGCTAAGAATCTTAACGTTACTTGGGATGGGCGGTAACCTATGATTTCGAAGCCATAAACTTGTAGAATCACGGTCATCTTCATGGAGACGGATCTGCAAAAATGCTTCCAGCATCTGCAGTGAGTGCTATTCTTCCATATCTGAAACGAAGGAGGAGTCCAAATTGCTCAGGGAGAATAACGGGTCCACGATGCAATGCGTCGTTTAATGATGAATGACACTTGTAATGAGCGGATGCATCGTAAACTATTCTGAGCTTGGTGGTTGGCTTGTTAGGTGTTTGAACTGCTTGATGTGGCATGTAATGGACACGAAAATTGGGAGGAGTGTGTTTATCGTTGACCTGTTCCAAATTATTTGATCTGATTTGTTCATTAAATATATCATTGTAGCTGTCTAGTTGATTTTCGCTGTGTTTTAAGGATTTCCAAACGCTTGCTAGTCTGTTAACTTCAATAATTTTATTATGTGGTAATGAGGTACATGATTCTTTCCAAGTGAGTCGAACATGACATCCATCGCTTCTTTTCTGGATAGTTTTATTGAAGTTATTCCAAATTTTTTTGTTCAATCTGTTTCATTTCTTCATTTTCAAAACTTCCAAATTCTTGTGTCCCGGCATATTCTAGGGTGCAAAATATTTCCCATTCGAGTTTTTCTTGGTCATCGTGTATAAAGGCCGTATTAACTTGAGCTTGTAGAGTCCGAGTTTGCTCCCATAAATCAATGTCCTCATACGTGTCATTATTGTCTGACATGCGTTGTTCTATTTCTGAGTGCTGTAATCCTAGCAGTAGGCTGTGGTCCTTTAAGGTATTACTGTAACGTCTCCTGGGGTTTACCGGTCGGTAAGTATTCAAGAGTTGTCGGAAGTAAATTAAGACCTGATGGTCATTAGATAAGAGAGTTATCTGTTTTCATTAAAGTCCATAGTTGATCACATCCCAGAAGGATGGAAGGCTGAATGGGCTGCTGATCTTGATTGATTTCAATTTGGATGTCATTTTCGCTTATGAACTTTAAATCTTCAACAGTCATATTTGGCATTTGAATTGGTTTTGAATTATTGCTGTGGGTGTACAAATTGAGGGAAATTCCATTACCATCCTTGTCCCACGCGTCTATAGAGATCTTTTTTTGAGCAATGTTCTTGTACAGTCTGGGCGGCGAACGTGTTGAGGCGTAAATTAACTTGTCCATTTAGTTGTGGATCTAATTCTTGCGCAAGTTTCTGGCCGATGAAAGAGAGTTCGGCTCCGGAATCGAATAAGACATATAACTTTTGTAAGCGCTTTGACTGTGGATTTAGTACGGTGAGTTGTCCTGTGGGCAGGAATGGTGGACGTCCCATAGTTTGTGGTGGTGTGATGTCTTCAGTTAAAGTTCGATAACCGATTACGTTTACGTTGGTCGCGTTAGTGGCGCCTTTTTGTTGATGTCCGCCATCCTTTTTAGACATACTAATCTTCAGGTCTTGATTAGGAGCGGTAGAAAGGCAGCATGACGTGTGATGGGGTTTGTGGCAATTGCGGCAGAATGTCCCTCTGGACTGCACTGTGATATGTGTTGCAGATGCGCATATATGACATCGCTTGCTATCTTTAAGGTACTGATACCTATCCTGCAGCGTTTTGTAACGATCGCATTGGAAAGAGTTATGGTTGCCTCTACAATACATGTAAGTGTACCTGGGAAACTATGGTCTTCTTTGTTGGCTGGTGCTTTTCCTATGAGTTGAGGGGGGTGTGTCAGGTTTATTGGCGGTTATATACCTTGTTATGAATTCCTCATTGGAGATTGTCTCCTCTAAGGATTGTAGAAGAGACTGCATGCTAAAGGATGAACCTGCTGTTGTTTGACTAGCCAATACTTTCCTTTGCGTTTCGGGTGGGAATTTGGTCATTACTTTGGTATACACATATTGACTGTTGGTATGCTCACCCTTTTGAGCTAACTGGGACAGTATGGCCTGTTCGTTTTCGGATAATACCCTTTGGTCATTTATAGCGTTTGAACGAAGCGAAATTCTTTCTAACTTTTGAAGCAGTTGGGCGATGAGCGCATCTGGGTTTGCGTATTTGGAGGTGAGAGCATGGATGGCCTTTTGATAGTTACCACTGGTGGTTTGGAACTTTTTAACGGCCTGGAGGGTTCCCTCTTAAAAGAGTTAATCAAATAGCTAAGCTTTTGAAAATCTGCGACATTTTGAGAATGTACGTTTGAATTGTAGAGTTTCCAAAAATTGTCCCATTCCCATATGTCGCCATTGAACGTGGGGATAGGTGTCGTTCGAAGTTCCATTTTTCGAACAATGGGTGTTTTCGAAGTTTCCTCGTTTTTAGTTGGCAGGTGGGAGGTCTTTGAATGCTTCGCTTGCTGCAGTAGAGAGTCAATTTGCGTTAGCAAAATGGTCGTATATTCAAAAGAGTCGTCTAACAGTTGTTGAGAATAGGTCAAGGTGTCCCTATAATTCTGTTCAACATCATCTGAATCAGCATATATTTCTCCTAGTTTCTCAAGAAAAATATCGAGGCCTTTTTGCACGTTATGCCTCACCTTCGCAACTACAGATAATCTAGCTTCACATTGTACCCTTGCGGCAGTGAGGTCTTCTAATGCTATGGAATTCTGTATCTGTATCTGGTCTTGCTTAAGTTTTACCAGTGTTTTTTCGAGTTGCTCAGAGCCTCTTATGAGTACCTCATTTTTGTGAGAAAGAACAAGACTATGTGCCATGGCTGCTCTAGTATGTTTGAATTGAAAGTTTGATATGGAAATTCGGGACAGGTAACTTGGTATCTGATCCCTTTGACTGCAAGTTTCGTTGGCGACTCGTATTCGAACAAAGTCGGCCAATGCACCAAATGTGGTGAAGGTTCAGTGGTTTTATTTTTGTGATCTGCTGCCAAGTTGTGTCTCGCATCGGACAAGAGAGCAGAGTTTAAATCCTTTCTATGGATTATACCAAACAACCTAGGCATCTTGTTACACACGCACCACTACCGCCACCGGGATGCAGTCGTCGTCAGCGTCATCGTGTATGTACAGGACAAGTATTTTTTTCGTTTTTTATTTTTTACTTTCATTCTTCTTCATTTTTGTTTTTATATCTCATTTCTCATTTGTTTTTTCTCATATTTTTCAATTTGGCCTTTGTTCCTGGCAAACTGCCCATCTGGAGGGAGTCTCTCTTCCGCGGAATTTGTTCCCATGCTCACCGGTTCTAATTTTTCTTTCTACTTCCAAACCTGATATCAAAATTTCTGATTCTTTCGTAAACTAGAAATTATTTGAACGGCAACATTGAGATCTTTTGGTGTTTTGTTCCTTTTTTTTAGTTATTTCATGATCTCAACCATGACTCCTGGGCTCTATTTATCACTCATGTGGATAAAAGATGCGAAAGAGATTCACTTAGTAGTTTCTTAATTAGTATAAATATCTCCTTCGCAGAGAATTCAATGGTAATAGGTGAAAATCATCGGTAACACAAGAAGAACCATCCGAGCTCAACGATCTTACTCGGCCTCCGTGGAAAGTTATGGTCCCAATAATTTTCAAAATATTTTCTAGATTGATTCCTTTGAATAAGATACAAACAGGAAATTACGCTTAGGCCTGAGCATAGGCCTGAGCTTAGGCTTGAAAATCTGATGGGATCACAGCTCTTCACTAGCGTTAGTTATTTTGATGCTAACGTGGCTATTACTGACGGTTTTCGATCTCAAGTCTTTGTAGCTTTAATGTTTTTTCCACATTCTCTGTTGATTAGGGCTAATTTCAATCTTCTGTTGATCAGTCTCAATCTTCCAGAGATCGCTATTAAGCTTATAGAATTTTTCTTTGCTAGTTTTTTCTTTTTCTTTTGTCTTGCAAGCTTACAGATACTCTCCTCTACTCTGTGTCGAAACTGTTCTCTTTTCCAATAGATTTGAGTGGTGAGCAAATCGTGGCCTCAGGCAGGAATCAAACTCGCGTTTCATCCTAAGCGGGGACACGTGCTCTATCATTACACCACCGAGGCACAATTTCCGAACCACTCATTCTTATTATTCAGCCACAAACTCTTAACAGGTTTGGTGGGTACGCTCTTTCCGCTTTATAAACCCAACTGAGCTGATAGCCATTGTGATAACTAATATTCAGAATCTCTAGTATTTTGCTGCATTTTTCGCAGTGTTATGATTATTCATATATTCATGAGAGAATTGGGTGGTGAACAAAGAGCAGTGGTAGAACAGTGATAGAGCACGCAGTAGTGGAAGAGCACGCGTGTCGGATAAGATGGAACACGGGTTCGAATCCCGCCTGAGGCCGTGTTTTTGCTCACCGCTCAATTCTCTTAGGAGTATTCTGAATAATCATAACACTGCGAAAAGTGCCGTAAAATACTAGAAATTGTGAATATGCTCTCTCTATCAAGTTGTTGTTTGCATCTCATATGTGAATTCTATAACAAGCATGAATCACGTTACTTACCCGTTTCGAGGTGGCGCGTATTGTTTTTCACAAATGCGGCTCTTTGAACTGACTCTTTCAAACCCTTTGTTCAAAGCTCCAAGCACTTTTTAGAAACTTTTTCTAATTAGTGAACCGAAGAACAACAGAGCGATAATCTTAGGAATTTGGGCCACTGATTACTACATGAATACTGACATCAGTGAGACCACCAGAAACGCTGTGTGATTGGGTTGTCATGAATGGCTTATCGAGGAGCTCTGGTTGAAATGATGAGTAAAGCGATTTTGATTTCCTCATATTCAGCAGAATGGCACACTTGATTTTTTCTTATGTTGATTTTATGATCTTCTACAATGTAATTTTCCAACAAACTCTCATACCTTTGATGTTCCGCCTGTACGTATGTGCTTACGCCAACCTATACCTAATACTAGTAGAGGTACAATCCCACTCTTCGTTCTTCAGGTTATCCATCCATATTTTACTTTCGCCGTACCATCAATTTATCGCTTATCTGGAGGCTTGGCCACTCTTCTTTTAAGGGCTGACGTTTTAAATATATAAGTACTACGATGTATCTCATAGCTGCATAAAAAACAACTTGCTACTTTGATAGATGTCCATCAGTTCCACATGCTTACCCAACTAGTACTAAGAGCGCCGCAGATTATGTAACTCTAGAAGAAGTGATTTACCAACTAATGTTGTGGTCCAAACTGACTGGAAGTCGATGGCTTACGCTGTTGCGAGAGCATGCAAGAGTATCTTCCATTTTTCGAGACGTCACTGAAGAATTAAACGTAGTCTGTTAGCATAGTGAAAGGCATTGTTTAATGATTTTATAACAGCCGTCAACCATCGACTTTCAATCAGTTTGAAAGCAAACATTAAGCGATATTTTACTTCCCTTAGAGTGTATACTTCTTCGGCGCTGCTGTTAATAGTAGTAGGGCAGACTCTAAGGCATATAGCACTAATGAGGCGTACCAGAACGCCGAAACACACCTATGCCAATGATGTATCAGCCTTTGAGAGGCTTAGAACATTCTACCAAACTCTGTTGAATTTAAATAATTAAATCGCAAGCTTTCTTGGGAACCGCGCTGCGCGATCGATTAGCTGCCATCTAGATCGGGTTGATATTACTCTAGTTTACATTAGAACATTGCTTAGAGTTCATAGAATTTACGTGTGATGGTTTTCAACTTTGTTCTTCTCAATGATTATTAACCGTAATGCTCTGCTATCGATTTACGTTTGAAATCCTCGTTCGACCGTGCTACAGATCAGCAAGGTCCCGCATCACTGCAAAGTCGCAGAGTTCTTATCCGACTAGTTTCAAAAGCCATCCGAAGTCCTCAAGACCGATGAAAGCTGTTGCACGGCTACCCAGGAATGGGCCTTAAGGTAGGAAGAATTGACTGGCATTCAACGGCATTCGTGACGAAGGCGAAATCTGAGTGGAAACCGAACCTACATGCGAATCCGAAGAGCCTGGCGAATGGTGGCTGAGAGGAAACAAGCTGAATATAAAAGCATTGGAATCCCCAAAATTCAAATGAAAAGAGTCCATATGAAATAAAAACCATAAATCTGTGATGATTTTGAAAAGGAATTCCCATCTTCTTCAAATTCTACTCTATCTAGAAATTGGAAAGTCAGCTACTAAAGGAAGAACCATGTCAGTTTTGCGCAGCCAAAAGTCTTCTTGGATAAGAAGACGCACTTCTACAAGCACATTAGTTTAGCAGAGTGATCAGAGGAGAAGTCCCGGTTGGTTAGTGGCGTTAGTATGCGCTTTCGGAAAGGGTGAGACGGAGGCTCAACTCGCCGGAGGTTCAGAGTTCTGTACATCACTCAACATGCTTGGCTACGTAGCTATGACACACCAGTACATTTCCACAAAGTTTTTTTTCTCTATCAATAATAATCACACATATTAGAATATATAGATGGACGTCATGAATCCGACTCCAATCATAACATTGTGGAGATGGCTGAACGCCATATCTGACTTTTACGCTCAGCCGTCTTGACGAGTCAATACTACTATCCTTTCAAACAAGTCTGCGGTTCACCTAATTCACCGGTGTCAAAAGGATCGGTAAGGCTTCATGAAGGTGGAGTGCGGGTTCGAACCATTAGCCACTCGTGTGTCGTACGGCATCTCTAATCGCTGCGCTGTCCGTGTCTGACATGTCTGAACATGTGAAATGACGCCGCAGGGCTTAAATATGCGCATGCACGCCGTTGCGGTGGTACGGTAGGGCGATGCAACAGGCATCTTGGAGCACAAGCGTCACTCTCGCCACCGGATGCGGTCGTTGTCGTCACCGTCGACACAGAAAAAAAAAGTTTTTTATTTTTTGTTTCTCAATTTCACTCTTCTGTTGTTTTTTTTAATCTTTTCTATTTCGAGGTCGTCTTTTTTGGTATTTTGCCCATCCGTAAGAAATCCCTCTTCCACGAAATGGGTTCCCACGCTCAGCGGTTCTAACATTTTTTCTTTTTTCATATCTGAAATATAAAATTCTGATTCTTGGGGTGCTGAATGTATCTCAACGGCATTGTTTGAGAGCTTTGGGTGTTCTTTTTTTTCTAGTTATTTCATCATCTCAGCTAAATCTTCTCGCCCCTATTTCGTTACTTTTATAAATAAAAGATGAGGTTCACATAGTGGTGACGTGATTACTATGAATATCTCCTTCAAAGAGAACAGTGAAGGCTATGGGGAACACAGGAGCAACCACCCGAGCACAACAAAGTTATTCGACTCTTGTGGAGAGTTGTGGTCCCATCAGTTTTTTTAAGTATTGTTTTAATTGATATTTTTAGATAAGATATCACGAAATCACGCTTAGGGTTGAACTTAGGCTTAGGCTTGAAAAAGTTGATGGGATCGCAACTCTCCACTATTGTCCACTGGGTATCATTGATGGTTTACTTTCATATTCTCTAATGTTTATAGACTTAATTTTGTCTTATGTCGATTAACATCAATCTTGTAGAGATCGCTGTCAATTTTGCGGTTTTTTCCAAAAACTTCTTTATTTTATCTTGAAACTATTGTCTTTATTAAAAATGCTCTAGCATTAGTTATTTGAATTTTACACTATGCTTAAGCCCATGCTGTTTATCAGTCTTGGGGCGGCTTGTATTGTTTTTCACACACGCGACTCTTTAAATAAGCTCTTTCATATTATTTATTTGAAGCTCATTAAGCGTTTTTTTGCTGACTACTACATCAGTACTTATTTCGATACAATGACCAACGACCCTGTGTGATCGGCTTGTCTGGAATACGTTATCCAGGAGTTGTGGTTGGAATTAAAGAGTAAAACGATTTTGATCTCCTTATATTTAGCAAAGTGACACCTTTGACTTCTTCTTATATTGATATGAAATGTTCTACAATAGAATCCCTATCAAAATTACTATCGCTTTGATAATCCGATCACCCATGTGCATATTACAATCTTTTGCCAGATTTTACAAGAGCTGGATGCTAATCCGTACTTTTTAATTTTCCCTTATTCGTCTGTACGTTGTTTTACCATATTTTTATTGTTTATGTAGTGGCTTAACTGCCTACGTCTAAGGCGTGACGTTGTGAACATTTAAATACTGCAACGTATCACGTAGTAAGGTCAAAAATAACATACTGTTTGGATAGATGGTCCATCAATTTCACATGCCTACGGCTTCCACCAACTAGTGTTAGCAGCAGCGCCGAAGATGTATCAATCTAGACGAGGTGAAATATCACTTGATGTTACAATTTTGAGTGATTGATGATCGATGGCTTACGGCTGTTCAGAGGCATATAACAATGCCTACCAATCGACTATATTTGAGGCCTTGCGAAAAAGTATAATATAGTTTGATTTTATAGTGAGAGATATTGTTAAATGCTCCCGTAAGAGTCGTAAACCGTGGACTTCCATTCACTTCAGGCGCAATATTAAGTGAACTTCACATCATCAAGAGTGTTACGTCTTTGCGCCACTATCTTTAGTAGTAGGGGTGAGCCCTGGGGCATGTGGCACTGATCAGGCGTGCGAAATCGCCAAAATGTGCTTATGCCATGGCACGCCAGACCTCTGAAAGGCTTGAAACATTCTATCATAGTATACTGAATTTCAAGCGAGGTCTCAAACATAGCCGATTGGAAAGTGTAGTCATCAACCTCTGGACTCAGTTCTGCTGGTCAATGCCTCAACTTCACCCCTTCTCTACATGATTTCTTCATTAATGTCATACTTGAGATATTTTCTTGTCAAACTAAATAAACAGCTTCAATTTTGTCGAATTTCCCATTTAATTCACCATGACTTCTTCATATCTGAACTCTCCTGACTCGGAAGCATAATTTCTTTGTGGCCTACGTTATGATTTGTGAATTGCGTCCCTTCTGTTCACTGCAAATTGAATTCCTCTAGATGGGTTCGTATGTGCTTTCAGATCTATATATTCTGTGAACGACAAATGCGTTATTGGTGAATATGGACAATTTCTCTGCACACTTCGATGCTTCTGAATCACAATCTGCGAATGATAAGATCC